CTCCCTCCCTCCCATCTACTTATCTGGAATTTCATTTGTATATTTAAGCTTCACAATATAGTACAGCACTGGGAAAATTGTTAAGATTTCCAGAGTTTTGTTTTATAAACTCTACGTATGTATTATTTTAGTGTAGAGTTTCACATCATTTCACCCACATTATTTCTGTAAATTCTCAAGAAATTTTGTTCAATATTATGATCATCACCATATGATAAGATGAGGTGGTAGTGAAAGATCACTTAATGAATTCATGACCAAAGCAGTATAAGGTATATCTGGCTCACACTCATATATTACTTGTGGTGTTTGGTGTCTGCTGGGGCTAGCACAGTGGAGAGAAGTGCTTTGCACTGTCGGTAGAGTCAACTAGTTATTCACACAAAGAGGGGGGATTGCCCTATATTTATCCATATAATCCAACTACTTCTGTTTACTGAAATGTTTTGTGTTCTCAGCTACCTGTGTATAATGTGTCTCTCCATACATATGCTACATAATGGAATTGGATCCATGTTAGTCTATTACAAAAAGTGCAAAAGCAACAGTAATGTAATGCATTATTTATTGACTTAGAAACCAGTCTGAATACCTACTTAAAACCATACTTTGCTGTGCTTGTCCCCTGCAGAAAAAACATATTTTGCATTATCTTCCTCTCATATATACTGTTTTCGGGGTTGGTTTGTTGCATAATAATCTGCTTCCATGTTCTGAAGAACTCTGAAGCTCACCTATTTCTTTGTGATCTTTTAGTTGGATCTACTCTGCATTTTGGAAGGGAAACACACTCTCCCCCAATTTCTACATACTTAGATGGAATAGATTGAATTTGTGCAACATCTGCTTCTGTTGTTTCTTCCTTTTTATATATGGAATGTGTTCCTGAAGGAAGAATTCAATCAAAATGTTATAGACTTTAATCTCTCCAGTCCTGGCAATTACACACTTCAGTAAACGTTGAGCTAATTCAGATCTCCCTGACCCCTCCCTCTTTATTGGTGTCAGACATGGCCATCAGTTATCAATCAGGTGTGACACATGCAAAGGGTATTCACTACAAGTAAGTAGCTTATCAGAAGGCATCAGGGAGTGAAAATTGGCTTTAACCTTCATGGGATGCTTAAATCCCACTTGGGAAGCCTCGAAGCAAGCATATTTTGATTAGAGTCAAAATGGCAGCACAAGTGTACTGCCAATCCTTTAATTACCTGTCATTGATAATATTAACTAATGACTCCACTCTATTTTATTTAACACCAAAGAAAATATGAGTTAAAGCATTTATTGCTTGCTCAAGGCCAATGGGTTAATAGAAATACCCAATGACCTCTACCTAAAACAATCCATTCCTATTTGACACCCGTGCTTTGGGCTATAACAGCACATTCATTCCATGTGTATGAGATTTGAAAATGGACAGCTGATGAAGATTGAGCAGACAGTTGACTGAAAAAGGGGTTAAGGAAAAGAATTCATGATGTTCTCCTTTATTAGAAAAGGCAGATGTTTCTATATGAATCAAAGGAAATTAGTATATTGAATGTCCTTCTAAGAACACAGTTTGAGGGAGAAAAGTACTGACTTACAGGCTTTATTAACCAATCTTAAGACATCCTGATCAAAGGTATCAATAGCTTAAGGCATCTGAGAGCCCCAACGTTCAACAGGCATCTTTCACTAAAGCACAGGTAGTACATGTTTACTTAGAAGCATGTCACACTCAGTTTGAAGAGACTTGCTATTAGATACATATGCACAGAATTACAAGTAGGCTTCTAGTTCAAGTGTGTCTAGTCTCTGCTCTTCCACAAGAATAAAGCCAATAAAATGAAGGCTGCATTTCTAAACATGGTTTCCAAGTCTCACTATATGTATGAATAAGCATTTAGTTTCACCATAATATTTGTGTCTTTACTTTTGGTGCAGTCATTCTTCATGTTTAAAAAGCAAAATATTAGTGAATATATCCAGATAAATAAGGCATCCATATTGGTGCCCTTCACCATATCTTCTACATTGTAATTAGGGGCTGAATGTCTCTGCTTGGCCATCTAGCATTTCCACAGTTGCAAAACTTACCTGCCAAGTAACAGTTCCATTGCTTAGGAGACCCAGTGTTAAAAATAGGAATTTAGCTGAAATAATCTGATTACTAGACAGCAGATAATATTCAGGAAGAGCAGGAAGGGAAGTCAACTCTGTTTGCCCTCTGGGCAACAGTGAGAGCACAATGCCCAACCTTTCAGCACTAAGATCCCTGTGCCTCTGTAGATTTTGGCAGGCTCTTCAAACTTTACAGGACTGAAAGGACGAGTTATTCTTGCTGAAATCCCAACTAACCCTAAATAAGTTGGCTATGCATGCTCCAGAAAAGGTAAAATGGAGCTAATGTGAAATGTCTTCAGTCTTTACTGGATTGTCTGTATCAGAAATATTTGTGAATTTCTAAGAAAATAAGTTTCTTTTTTTTTTTAGCAAAGGAAGGTTTTTAAAAATCATAGTTTTCATAGTCTACTGTTTTGTTTTTTGTCTATAATGACAAAGCCTCAACTGATACTTTTTAAAATAGTTCCTAAAGCTACAAGTAATCTTTCTGCTTTGATCTTGTCCCCAACATTTCAGCTTTGCATCTCTAGTCTGTTTTCTCTTTGTCCTACTGTAAGCTTTCATACAAAGGCCTGTTGTTTTTATCTTTTGCTCAGTGCCTAGTAACTTGAAATGCTTTATAAATCAATAAAAATATATTGATATTTTGGCTACAGTACCAGGGAATGTTGTTTTTAATAATGTTATTCAAGTATTCCTTGTGATTTTGTTTTCATATCTTCCTCCCATGTGCTTTGTGGTAGAATAACCTGGGGCTCAGTAGTCGGGCTATATTAAAGAAACAATAACATCTCCCCCCCCCAAAAAAAAATCAAATTGGAGGGGGAAAAAAGACTTATAGAAGCCTTCAGTACAGAGTGCTTCCCAAACATGTTGGACTACAACTCACATAGCTCCAGTCACTACAACAAAAATCCATGTTGGTAACAGTGATGGAAGTGGTTAGTCCAGTATAGCTGATTTATGGAACTCTCATGGGAATTTCAATGCATGTTTGATTCTTTTGATGTTAGCATCAACTCTTCATTGCTTGTAAGGATCCCAAAGCATTTTCTTGGCCAGATGTATCAGGTAAAGTACTCAAAGCCATTCTATCTTTACAATACTTGACTGGAGCAAACTGATTTTGGGATCATCAGGAAAAACTGAAGTCTCGAGTGAGCAGTTTGAGCACAAGAAATAAAAATCAGGAATGAATGAGAGGCACGAAGCCAATCCAACTGTGACAAAGCACACCAGGCCTCGTGGTAGGAGAAGTTGGGAAAGAGGAAGGGGTTTATAAGGCTAGTGTAAATCATTTTATACTGGTTAAAGTGCTGTAAAATTACAAACAGATCCTGGTACAATAAATTATCGTTGAATACCTGAGAGTCCTGTGACTGCTTTGTGGCCTCCCTGCCATTAATCAGAAACCACAAAGGGAGGGATTGGCTGGCAAAACATTAATCATGAAGCAATTAATTCAAGCCATGAAAACAAAATTCAGTTACTTCCTGAATCGGTAAGACAAAGGGAAGCCTAAAACTCTTCCGTTCCTCTGCACATCAGAAGGGCAGTGTTCAGACACAAAACTGTATCATATTAGTTTGAAATGCTAGTGATAAAGGTTATGGATTTGGATTTGAGTGGATTTTATTGTGGTTGATGCAGTCAGAGTTGTTGGACTAGATCTCATAATGGAGCCTGCAGGAAACTTGGGAAACTGCATTTCTTGTACAACAATATGCAAGTGCTAATAAGGGTATAAATCATCTTGGTAACTGCTTGTTGAATAGAGAATCCATAGAGATAACGTTTTTGCTGAACAAATGCACCTGGCCCACGGAAGATGATCTTGCTGCTCAACTTAGCAAAACAGACTTTGGAAACCTCTTAAATATACACTTAATCTGCTGTGCATGCCTCTGCAACTAAGAACTCAGTTTTTATCAGAATTCCTAACTATATGGAGGTTATTACTCATATGAATCTCAGGGTAAGCCAGAGCAAGTATTCTACTGTCATTCATGTAGACCTAAATAGAAACCCGCTTCAGAACCCATCTCCAGTCAAGGCAGGAAAGAAAGTGATTGCAGGGATTGGGATGTTGGGGGTGAAGGCTGCATTTGTCTGCACACACCATTTACACTGGTTGCCTAGAGGTGAGCAGTCTGGATGCTTGCTTAGGGATTTAGTCTGTTAAGATTCTATGCAAAGTTCTGAAGCTTTTGATCTCCTAGCGATGCTTCTAAGATACATTTTCTGGCTAAATATGGAAAGTAGGCGGGGGGGGGATGGAGTAGTAAATTAGAGAGGAAAGGGGGAGTTAAAATTAAGTGCTTCCTAATGAGACGCTGTTCCATATGTTACTGCTGCTTTGCACATGAGTGAAAAGAATAGGAGTGACTGAAAATTCTGAGTTTACTGCCAACCATTTCCAGCAGCCGTTCATCCTATGGCAGTGGGAAATGCTAGAAGTATATGTATTTAGGCTTATGAGCTATGTGAACACACACACCCTCATAGACAGCCTAAGGTGAATTACTTCCCTGGTTCATTCAACAGCAGTCTCTTTGGGATAGCATGTTGGTTAAAATGGAAGCAATCCTGTTGATGTAAATCCAGGATTTTCCTCAATTTGAATGGAACTTTTTTGTTTTGGAGAAGGGAAATTTTCAAAAAAAATATGCCTCAAAACAGATTTATCTTTCAAGGAAGGCAATAATGGAAGCTTTTCATCTGGAAATATATTGAGTGAGTGTCATTGACTGCAAGGATTTAGGATGATGGGCTTTCTCCAGATATTTTGAAATCAGTAAACACTTTTTCCTTTGCATTTTCTTAGCAGCTGAAAGGACATTGAAGTGCATGAATGAGGAGGAGGCCACATAATCCAGATAAAGGAATATTTTGGTATCCTTGTGCTTTATATCACTGAAGATTTTGAGACTATCTCTCTCCAGCCTAAACAGCCTCCCTTGTTAGCTACAGATATTTAAGCTGTCACCAAGATGGTTCCCCAAAGTTCCTAAGTTTCTGAAATAGTTTAATTGACACAAAGATCTACAGAAGTAGAGTTGCTGCAGACAGAACTTCAACATACTGTATATTAATAGGAATTACTTGCATGATCCTTGCGTGCTCAGTTTTGACATCAAGCTCCTCAATTTAAACTCTCATAGGCTGCAGCCAGCATGTTGTTACTAGAAGCTACTAGTCTCCCTATTTTGTTTTGCCTTTGTGCCATTTCTTCAAAGATCAGTCTAGACCTAGAAGATGGGAATATTGAGTTGGTTCTATAGAGCCAATAGAATTGACCACCTTCCCTTTCTCCCTGCGAACAGTCACGGCTGAGGAGACAAGACGTGGGACTGAAAAGTCATCTGGATCAGTTGGACCAGCAGATCAGCGAACTGAAGTTGGATGTCGGCAAAACTTCCATTGAATACCTTGATAGTGATAGTAGGCCCAGTTCAGGTAATTGGGGGATTTCTCCTTTTCTTCTGTTAGGAACATTTTTATGTTTTACAGTGGTAAATACAATAAAGCAGCGATAACACAAAACATAACCCATATAAAGGAACTTTATTGGTAAGGCTGCATATATCTCCTTAGCTTTCCCTGTTCCAGCCCCTGAGTCCCTGCTGATTGTGCTCTTGAAATTAAGTGACAAAGCACAATGTTTAGCCAAAGGGCAAAAGGAGACCTTCACAAAGTGTTGTGCACTCATTTTACTTCTTCACTTACCCAAACCTTTTCACTTCTGTTTACACCATTATGTCCCTTGCCCTCCCTTTGCAGCAACTCAGAAGCGAAAAAGATGGATTGAAAATACATACATACATACATACATACATACATACATAAATCCTTTAGAATGGTACAGTATCCCATTTTTCTCATAAACCCCACACAAAAACATTGAAAGAGAGACAAGATGGTAATTGATTGCAATATATATACAAAGCTGGGTCATCTTCTAAATTTCTGTTTTAATGTTCTGTCTCTTTGAATTCTACCATCTTTCTAAAAGTGGGATCCTGTGCTCAGGATTGCTGTTCTGTATATTTTGCATTGATGAATGCCAGCCTTCTTCAATCTGGTGCCCTTTAGAACCGTCGAACTGCATTCCCATGGTTTCTCTACCTATGCTGAGTGTTATAAAAGGAAATAAAATTTCCATAAATATTATGTTTAGTCATCCTTTTCAGTCTACTATGTAGTGTTATTTTTTTAGTTGTGGCTACTTTTCAGATGTTTGAGAATCACCTGCCCATCGTAGGTAGTCTGTTTGCTTTGCAGGAACTTGTCATCTCCTTCCTGACCACAGCTAGAAGTAACACAGTGAATGTCTTTGCCCCTCATCCTTCCTTATACTTATGATTAAGCAGCAAATACACCAGCTTAAGGAGACCTCTGGTTCCTTCCCAGGAGGAGACCAGTTAATAAATCCTTCATGATTCTTTAAGCCTAACTTAGCGTGAAGTAGTTTGACTGTGTGTTCATTTGTTCAAAAGAGGTTTGAGAAGAAGTAAACTGAAAAAGAAATTGCTTTGTGCTTTATTTTTCTTGTGGATGGACAAAGCCATAGTCAAGCATTCTTGAGTCATGCTAAACTAAAAGAAGCAAACCATGGGTATTTCACTGTCTTTATCCACACAGGGAGGGAGACAGCAGGCAGCTTGTGGAAGTCATAAAGTACAAGTGGGCATTCTTACTATATAGCTGTGGGTGATGTGTGAACTGACTCAATGAGATTCTTACCAAACATCTGCTTTTATGTGAAATGGGAAAGAGATAAAAAGTGGAGTGCCTCATACAGTTTTGGGGGGTTTAAATTTGTTTTGAGGAGCCTGGACATGGATAGTTATGGATAGTGACTACTAACACTTAATAGTAAGTTATTAAAATGTAGGTGCACAACCTGGAACCTACTGGAAGGTCACCCAGAGCCCCACAAGACCGCAAATGTTTTGCTGAATTTCAGTGATATTGAGGGACATCCATAATCCTCCCAATTGTCATTGGTACATCTCTCAACCTAGTCCTATCACCTTCTCTACCATTCAGACTTTTCTTTATTCTCTTTGAAGCTACCAACCTTCATGCCATTGTTGCTTCTTTGTGCTTTGTCTTACCACCTTCCCCACCATCAACCAACTTTTCCATTTCACCCAACCCATCTCCAGTCTTCTCTTCCTATCTGATCCATTTCTCTTCTACTTTGATTTGTGCTTTTTTCCTTTTTCCTCTTTCAGTCTTTTTCGTCTTCTTTTTCCTAACATCTGTGATAAAAAGCCAGAGGGTCCATCCCAACAAGGTCTATATACTTGGTTGACCCAGGAGGTCAGTTATCCAAGTAATCTTTTTTTACCTGTTCTTCTCTTCCTTTTTGAGATCTGTGGTTTTAAATGTGTTCTGTGTGAATTGGCTTTAGTACAATTATAAAATAAATGGCACTGATTTTCAGATGAGGATCATTCAGATAACAATTATGTTCTGCTTAAAATGAGTATAGAGAAGAAATAGAAAAGGCAAATCCTTCCATGGATGGGGAGGTGTCTTTTTCAGTTAATTAACTGAATACAGTTAATATAGCTGAAACAAAACAAAGCTCGTTTCTGTGCTTTAGCTGCATTTTTCACTTCACTTTCACATCATTTCACTTATTTCCATGTGTCCTGGTCCCACCCATGTTGGAGCACAGGCTCAAAATGTCATTCAATCTGTTGGCGCTCCCCTCAAAACATGTTCACCCATGTATGATAATTTTGACATTGCCAGTCAAAGACATAGCTCTTCAGTTTTTTCCTCACTGACAGATTTTTAATGAGAAAAGCCAGAAGCAGTGAAAAAACCTGGAGGCTTACAAGTATAAGATGAGAATGTCTAAACCACCACTGCAAAATTCTGTGAATGAGGGATTGCAGAAGGTTTGTCTGAAAACATCTTTTTTCTCTCAAAGTATTGCCTCGTCTATGAAATGGAAGAGAAGGAAATGCTCCAACTGAACCTTCTGCTATGCAGGATATTCATTCTCTGTAAACCAGAAAATTCTTTCTATTTCTTTTTGATTCTTTAGGTTTTTATGATCTGAGCGATGGTGGCTCCTGTTCTCTGTCTAATTCCTGCACATCTGTCTTCAGTGAATCCATTTCCTCCTCCCATGCCAGTTTGTTACCAAGTTCTCAGCTCTCCAAAACCCATATTAGCATCTTTGATTACCGACCCAAATCTGCAGATGAAACCACAGTCCACACCCAGTTCCAACAACAGGGACCTCATAGCAGTGATGGATGCCAAAGCAAAGCTTGCCTAGATGTTTCAGACACTCCAAGCAGGTCTAGACCAAGGCCTGTTTCCACCGGTAAGTATCTTGGGTGCTTTAGATCTTGATTAGAAAGGGAAGTATCTTTCTTTTTAGCCTTAGTATTATTTATGAAGATGCTAAGGCACATGGTAACAGTGTTTATTGCCTATCTCATCTATTTTGTATTGAGGCTGTAGTCATGTAGTCTTTTACTCTGAAGAAGTAAGTAGATGTTGCTGAAGCTGCCCTGGATTGAACAATGTGGGAAGTTATCTTTCACATAGCAATAGTGTGGATGCTTTTTATTCGATTAGGGTCTTTATGCCTTTAACAGTTCCACTGTATATTGCAGACAGATTTTTAACCATTTTAGTCTCTCTTGAAACAGCAGTGGTGTGTTGCCCTGTTGAATTTCTGTCTGGCCTTCAGTTTGGGTTCTTCAGTACTCCCACCCACCAAAAATAGAGCCTGCACTTAAGAAACCACACACTTAACTTTAATCATTCTAGAAGAATTTTAAAAACAGGGTGCACATTCTGTCCTAGACGTAAGGAGAATAGCTGATTCCTTACAGGTATGTGTTGATGAGATATGTGTACCTGTTGGAGATGAGCAATGTCTCATTTCTTCTGAACTACTTTGGAGGTCATTAAACTTCCAGGACCATGCAGGAAGTACATAAACTTGGAGAGGCTGTTCAGTTTAAAGTGTTTGCACTAAGTAACTAAACAATCCTGAAGGTACAGTTTCCCTAGAGCTGAGTAGAGTGCAAGAAATGATAAAAAGAATGCATAACCAGAAGTAGAGATTTCTGATTTTTAAGTTTAGTCTTCCAACTACAACCAGTCTTGTTTAGAGCAGGCTGGAATTAATTAGTTACAGTATAGTTTTTACCCACCCTGCCCTGTGAAAGAATAATGCAGCTGCTGCCCATATCAAGAAACTTCTTCCAAAATTGGGCAATACTGCCATGAAATGGAGCTATCTGGGCGTGCTTCCTGTATCAACTAAAGCATATAGTAAAGCATGAGCTATATTCATATGGTATAGAATATTTGCGTTGTGTTGTCTTCTTCGCCACTTGAGTAATGTCAGAATGGAATTTTGCAGTCTTGGGTGTAAGGAAAGTCAAGAAAGCTGTTGGCCTGGGTTAATTCTAATGAGATCTGGCAGTAAAGTCACTCAGATCTGCTCTGATTTGGACTGTGGCTGGGCAGGTCCACCTGAGGTGCCTGGGGCCTGGTCTTGTGGTGTGATCAGGGATGAGTGTGAACTGGTGATCCTGAAGAACTGGACAGGATTCTTTATGCTGTTAGTTCAGCCACCTGTTTATTGGACTCAGGGAAATGACCTGTTGCTGGGTCCATGTGGTAGTGTCATGCCTCAAGCCTGGAAGGAGGCAGTGGTATGTCCCCTATCCATGAAGCCATCCTTAGACCTAACAATTTTAGATAACTATTGCCTATCTCCAACTTACTCTTTTTAGGGAAGGTTGTGGAGAAAATAGTTGGTCTGTAATTGAGGAATACCCTGGAGGAAGTGGATTATCTCAAACCATTTCAGTCAGGTTTCAGGCTGGGATTCAGTATGGAGACGGCCTTGATCCTGCATATAGATCACCTGTGGTAGAGCTGGGATGGATCTGAATGCACCTTCTGGGATGGCTCCATGGTGTCAGAAACAGGAGGAGGAGGAAGGACATTTTTTAGGGTTTTTTTCCTTCCTCTTGGGCTGGTTGCTGTTGGTGTTGGTTGGAAAGGGAGAGGTCACTCCCCAGGCCCCTCCTTTGTGGGGTGCCACAGAGTTTGACTGTCACTCTCCCTTCCTATTCATCATCTATGCAAAACCACTGGGTGAAGTCATTCGCCAGTTTGGGGTTCAGTATCAAGCCAGCTAAGTGAGGCTATGTGGGTCTGGATGGGGAGAAACCATCTCCAACTCAATCCTACCAAGACTGAGTACCTGTCAGGTCCAGTCCAATAACAACAGTGAAACAGTCCACTTGAATTAAGTTCCTTTATTTGCTTACACCATACAAACAGAATCTTGCCAAACTAAATCTATACTACTGCAATTAGTGGATATACCTTGGGAGGTTCTAGGAAGTGACTATCCTAGACTTCTTTCGCTTCCCACGCTCCCCCTGAGGACTGTGTTGTCTTTTGTCTCCTTTCCCTTCCTGGAATGCATCCCCTCCTTCCTGATAGCCTTGCTCTCTGTTGCTATCCACCACATCACCCTCCTCTTTGTAGATACATTCCATCACAGTACCTGTGGATGTTAGGTTGTAGAGAGTAAAGAAGATTACTTTGGTTATAACAACAGACTCTTTTATCTCCATCAATCTCAATAATAGCAGTTTTAGCTTTCCTATGGAGTTGATTTCCTGGTCTGGCCTACCTAGTGGGGCTGACACAGGGCCACCTAGATCTGGGGAAATTCCATCTTTAACCTTGAATGGAATAGCACTTCCCCATTCAAGAGTAGTGTGCAATTTGGGGGTATTCCTGGACACACAGCTCCTGCTCCATCAGCAGGTGGCAGCTGCCGCCAGGAAAACATTTGCACAGCTTCATCTGATACACCAATTTTACCCTTTCCTAGATGGGGAGGCCCTTTGTACATACCCTAGTCACCTCACAGCATGATTACAGCAATGTGCTGTACATGGGGCTGCCTTTGAAGACCACTCAGAGCCTTCAATTGGTCCAGAATGCAGCAGTGTGGGCAGTGATGGGCATGCCTTAAGTCCTACCTGGCATAGGGCCTGATTTCTTGAGGGAGTGCCTGTGTCCTGTGATATCAGCCTGGCTGGTTCAATCTGACAGGGTTGGCATGTTCCAGGTTCCTTCAATTAAGCAGTGCAGTGCCATCTATTTGGACTCCAGTACATGCCTTCTCTGTCATGGCAACTGCCTTCTGGAATGAGGTTCCCCCTGAGATCTGGGTGGTTCCCACACTGGTGGCATTCCAGAGGGCCTTAAAACCTGGCTTTTCTCCCAAAGTCTGGCCTAGGATGGTTGGAGCCCCTTGCTGGGTAAATGATATGCTTATTATCACTGACCTGATTCAACCCCTTGTTTACTATTTTATTTTGACTGTATACTTGCTATTTTGTTTTTATGCTGTGAGCCAGTCAAAAGTGAGTGCAGCGGGAGGCGTCTAAGTTGAATAACATAAAATTCAAAAAAAGGAATAATAAAAATCTAAGTCCTCATGTACTGAAGGGGCAACCACTGATCCTGCCATTCCTATCCTATCCTATCCTATCCTATCCTATCCTATCCTATCCTATCCTATCCTATCC